GGAGCTGGTGCTTGCCTGCCTGGAATCAACCACCAGAGTAGTAGCCACGGGAGGATCCATAAATTCTGGTCTTTCCATTTCAGCCTCTGCTGTAGCCAAGACCACCTGCACCAGCTGCCCATACAGGCTTTTTCAAATGGGGATCGGGACCAGCATCCCCTGGCATCACCTGCCTCCCAGAAATGTCAATGCAACATCCAGAGCCAGCAAGGAACGCAGAAGCATCGCCCCCCCGCTATACAAGGAGAAAGGCCAGGCAGCAGTGCAACTCAGAGCTGCCTTCACCACCACCAAGGCTAGTTAGCAGTCCCCCAGTTACAACACAATAGCTCAACGGGGAGATCGCTGCACTAACATTGCATAGGTAGTACAGCGTCCTCTCAGTTTTTCGTTCAACCTAGCAAGTTGTACTTAAAGTGTGTACTAGGTTTAACACTCCCCAGACTGACAATGCTGATATCTGTTGTGCCCCCTGTGTTTCTTCATCCAGAGTGGGGGAACTCTATAAGAAGAAAACCAATGCAGCCACCACATCTCATGACTGTTAGGTCTCATGCACACAGGGAGTTTGTTGCAGCCACTTTTAGGGGTGTCAGTCCTCTATATTTTTTTTTTTTTTACAGCTTCAAAAACACCCCTCGTTATTAACCTATGTGTCCATGCACACAGACTTTTAAAAGCTTTTAGTAGCAGGGGCTTTTAGAAGCTGTAAACAAAAAAAAAAAACCTGCCGGTGCGTCCAGAAGCAGTAGTGTTTTGGCAGAAAACCCGCTGGACACCTCTAAACATACCTAACAGCACCTAAACACATGTTAACATTAGTGTGTTTAATGCTAGAACATCAATTCATACCAATGCAGCTGCATTTAAAAAAAAAAAAAATTGACAGCACTAGATTCAGCAGCTGCAGAAGTGGGAACACGTTACATGTTCCACCTGGTTGGAGCACATAACATGTTTCCAAAGGAGAACTTATCTTTTAAGTTGCAATTTATTATATTTTTATACGGTTTTATTTTGTCCATTTAAATTTGCTTCTACATTGAACACTACCCTCTTCCCAGACTGAATGCTTCTATCCAAGAAGTGTCTCTTTTGCTCCTCTATCCAGAGCAGACTGCCCATAAGGCTAGGTTCACATCTGTGCTAGTGCGGAACGGTCACACAAAATTGCGCTGCTTTTAAGGAAACATGCGGGGTGCCATTAACTCTTAATAGCACCCCCATATACTGAACGTGGTGTGGTTTCTAGAACATGCAAATGAATGGTGCCAAAGTATGCTGCGGTTTCTATGCGACCAGAGTTTAAGAAAGTTTATGGACTTTTTTTCCCTGCAGGAAATGTAGCACGCAGGACAATGACAATGTGAACCTAGGATAAGACCGGAAGTGTATTAGGCTACGTTCACACTAGCCTACACGGTAATAAACAATTTTACCATGCAGGCTAGTGCCATGTTAACTCCAGCAGAGAAGACTGCAGTGCATGTGTTTACCATGCCATGAAGCTCGTTTCCTCCCCCCCACTTTATTTGAAGTGTCACATATTGATATTTGACATATATCACTGCACAGCAGCACAGTAAGCCTAGGTTCACACCTTTGTGTGGGCCAAGTTTGTACGGGCACAGCAGCCCATTAATTTATATGGGCTACCGTGCCTTGCAAAACACAGAGAAAAGTTCCCTGCACCCTTACAGAAATTACAATCCGCAAAAGGAACTGCACTACAGTTGCAGGTCCGATTTCCAGTGTGAGCAGCATATCAAAATTAATGGCACCCACCCATAGGTCACGCTGTGTGCTAGTGGTTGCAGCTGCGGGAAGAAGTGCGGATCCCACAGTGGTTTCCACCAGCACAAGTGTGAACCGAGCAGACAAGCTGCACTTTACCACACATCACAGCAACATTGTGGTGTGAAGGCGGCATACGGAAAATATTCTAGCGAACTGCGTTTATCCAGTGCGGGTTACCATAGTGAATGAGCAGTTACTGGATGGATCACCAGTGCACATACAGGGGGAAAAAGAAAAAAAAAAAACGAATGCGGCCAGTACATTTAAGGATTGGTAAGCTTAGTGCATGATGATACAGATTTGTTTTTGGTGTTTACCTACTTCAAAACTGGATACCTTCATCCCCTTCCTGCCCCAGGCCAATTTTCAGCTGTCACACTTTGAATGACATTTGCGCAGTCATGCAACAGTGTACCCAAACTACATTTCTCCCCCCCCCCCCCCCCCCAAAATATAGCCATTTCTTTTGGTGGTATTTGATCATTTTTTCCTAAATAAAATGAAAAAAAAATTAAAAAAAATTTTGGAAAAAAGATTTTTTCTGTTATAACATTTTGCAAATAAATTATCTTTCTTCATACATGTATGCCAAAATGTAATTTTCTACATTTCCTTGGTAAAAATAACAAACATCATCATATGTTATATAGCCTGTGTGAAAGGTATAGAGTCTACAAACTATGCTATATCTGAAAACTGATCAATCCTGATGTACTGATTCTTGAGACCCTAAAATGCCAGGATAGCACAAATACCCTCTAAATGACCAATTTCTGGAAAGTAGATAGTCCTACATACTTAGTAAGAGGCATGGTGAGATTTGATGTTAGAATTTGTTGGAAAAAAAAAAAAAAAAAAAAAGGGTGGGGGTTCCACATTTTTTTTTTTTGTTCAACATACAGTCACCAGTGCTACAAGACCATCAGCAAGAAGTTTGACGAAGAGACACTTGTTGGAGCAATTATTATCAAAAAGAAAAAATACAAAATAACCATCGTCCTCGGTCTGGAGCTCCATGCAAGATTTCACCTCATGGGGTAAAGATGATCATGAGAAAAGTGAGGGATTAGCCCAGAGCTACACAGGAGGAGCTTGTGAATGACCTCAAGGCAGTTGGGACCACAGTCACCAAACAAACCATTGGTAACAATACGCCGCCCATGGATTGAAATCCTGCAGTTCCTGAAAGGTCCCCGTCCTCAAGAAAGCACATGTACAAGTCCATCTGAAGTTTGCCACTGAACATCTAAATGATTCAGAGAAGGATTGGGAGAAAGTGCTGTAGTCAGATGAGGCCGAAACTGAGCTCTTTGGCATTAACTCGACTTGCTGTATTTGGAGGAAGAAAAATTCTATGACCCTAAGAACACCATCCCTCAAGAACAGAGGTGGAAACATTATGCTTTGGGGCTGTTCCTCTGCTAAAGGTACAGGCTGACTTTGCCACCTTGAGGGGCCAATGGACAGGGCTATTATAAAATCTTGCATGAGAACCTTCTTCCCTCAGAACACTGAAGTTGGGTCGTGGATGGGTCTTCCAGCATGACAATGACCCAAAACATACCACCAAGCCCCACAGTGAAACACACACAGCACACAGTTAACCCTTTGATCGCCCCAGATGTTAACCTCTTCCTGCCCAGTGCCATTAGTACAGTGTCAGTGCTTTTAATTAGCAGTGATCTCTGTATTGGTGTCACTGGGGATGTCAGTGACACCAAGTCAGTTCCCCCCCAGTGTCAGAATGACTGCTGTAGTCCCGCTATAAGTCACTGATCCCATTACTAGAAGAAAAAAAAAAAAAAATATATATATATATCCATTTGTAAACGTTATAACTTTCACGTAAACCAATTAATTTACAGGTATTGGGATTTTTTTTTTTTTTTTTTTTTTTAGCAAAGACATGTAGCAGAATACATTTTGCCCTAAATTTGACGAAATTTTATTAAATTTATTGGACATTTTTAACCACTTCAAGTCTGGACACTTTTACCCCCTTCCTGTCCAGGCCAATTTTCAGCTTTCAGTGATATCACACTTTGAATGACAATTGCGCGGTCATGCAACACTGTACCCATATGAATTTTTTAGCATTTTTTGAGACAGATAAAGCTTTATTTTGGTGGTATTTATTCACCACTGGGGTTTTTATTTTTTTTGCTATGTAAATGAAAAAATCCAAAAATGTTGAAATAAAAAGTGTTTTTTTCTTATAAAATTTTGCAAATAAATAATATTTCATCATAAATCTTGGCCAAAATTTACTAAGTTATCTTTTTAGTAAAAAAAAAAAAAAAAAAAAAAAAACACAAACCACCCAAATTAGTTTACAACCAAAAATTATAAAAACTTTTTTTTTTTTTTGTTACATACTGTCACCCTAGCAGTACAGTGTCACCATGGTGACGCTCCCAGGGAGCACGCACAAGCAGGGTGCGCGGAGGCCATTTATAAACAGCCACCCTGCACTGCCACTGTCCAGCCTTTTTTATACAACGGCCGGACGGGAGGTGGTTAATAGCAAAAAGTCATTTTTTTTCTCAAAATTGCCAGTTTTTTTGGTTTATAGTACAGAAAATAAATAATGCACAGACTATCAAATACCACCAAAAGAAAGCTCTATTTGTGGGGGGGGGGGGGGGGGGGAGACGTAAATTTCATTTGGGTGCAGCAATGCATGACCGCGCAATTGTCAGAGTAATGCAGCGCTGTAACCAAAAACAAATGGCCTGGTCAGGAAGGGGGGGGGGTAAATCCTCTGGAGGGCAAGTGGTTAAATACCACCAAAAGAAAGCTCTATTTGAGTGGAAAATAATTTGTCATATGGGTACAGTGTTGCACGACTGAGCAATTGTCAAAGTGCAACAGCGCTGAAAAGTGGCCTGGGCAGGACAGGGGTAAGTGTCCGGCAGGCAAGTGGTTAACAATTAACTGCTACAGAATGTATAGCTGCTTCAAACTTTTAGAACTGTAGTTCCCCTTTAATAGCCGGAAAGATGCAAACCTGGCACCTAGCTGAAGCAGAAGTCCCAGCACAGTGCCCTAAGTATGCGGAGAGGGGACGGCACTGTGTCTGGGGACAGAGAACACATGGAAAGTTCTAAGCTCAGCACCCCCACTGACAGAACACAGAAAACTACGGCAGGTGAGTGAGGGGGGGAGGGGGGAGGAGGGCGGAGCCCCTGCAGTCAGGGCCTTACCGAGTGGTTGACTCCCCACATGAAGACGCTGACGAGCTGGTCATTGGCTCGGAACACCTTCACCTTCTGCTGCACAAAGTGTTTCTTCTTCGTCTTGGTCTTGGCATTGGTGGCGGGCAGGATCCCCACAGCCGCCGAGGAAGCAGCGGGCATAGCGGCGGAGGAGGACATTTCACCACACCGCCTCCTCCTCAGGGTCAGACGTACGCTCAACCGCCGCCTCTGTCTGCCCCGCCCAACTCACCTGAGCGCCGAGCGCGCCTGCGCACTCACGACTCTCCGCCACCGCCCCGCCGGTTCACAAGTCATGTGACCTGGGGTCAGCGGCAGCATTCAATGATTTGCTGTTAGATGTGGCGGATATGGCTGTGTGACTGTGTACCAGCTTATGGTGGGACTCTTATACCCCACTAGGCTCAGGACAAGGAGTGACAATTAGAAACTCCCTTCAAGTAGAATTTTGGATGGAGACAGGGAGGGAAATAACTCCTGTCACGGCTGTGTTCCATTGGCAAAATTTCCCTGCACTTCCTGCCCCATAGCCAAACAGGAAGTGAGAGGAAATCCATGCAAATTAGTTTCTTGGGGAGCCTCAGTTCACCAGAACTAGTGTCCCAATTGGAAGATTTTGCTTTTATTACTTTTCTACGGACAACTCAAAATTTCGGATTTTCTTTTACTTTCAATGATAATGATAAATAGGGTGAATCTCCATAATGGGGACACAGACTGCAATAAAAACTGACAGGGGGACTAGTCCCTTTCCACTCTATCCAAAACTAAAGGAAAAGATTTGCCTTTATTCATACTTTTACCACTTTCAGTGTCTGACATCCTTCTGGTCAGTTAAGTAGCAGAGGGGGTTGTTAATCAGTTTCAGCTGCTTTGGTGTTAATGAAACTAACAACAGGTGCACTAGATGGGAAACAATGAAATGACCCCCAAAACAGGAATGGATTTACAGGAGGCCACTGACATTTTGTTTCCCTACTCATCTTTTCTGACTTTTTCCAGCAGGCCACTGGTGTGAATGTCTCTGACCAAACAATCAGAAACAGACTTTATGAGGGTGGCCTGAGGGTCCGACGTCCTCTAGTGGGCCCTGTGCTCACTGCACGACACCATAGAGCTTGATTGGCATTTGCCATTGAACACTAGAATTGGCAGGTCCGCCATTGGCGCCCTGTGCTTTTCACAGATGAGAGCAGGTTCATCCTGAGCACATGTGACAGATGTGAAAGGGTCTGGAGAAGCCGTGGAGAACGTTATGCTGCTTGTAACATTGTTCAGCATGACCATTTTGGTGGTGGGTCAGTGATGATCTGGGGAGGCATATTCATGGAGGGACGCACAGATCTCTACAGGCTAGACAATGGTACCCTGACTGCCGTTAGTTATAGGGATGAAATCCTTGGACCCATTGTCAGACCTTACGCTGATGCAGTGGGTCCTGGGTTCCTCCTGGTGCATGACAGTGCCCGGCCTCATGTGGTGAGAGTATGCAGGCAGTTCCTGGAGGATGAAGGAATTGATATCATTGAATGGCCCCAATGCTCGCCCGACCTAAATCCGATAGAACACCTCTGGGATATCATGTTTCAGTCCATCTCACACGGCCAGATTGCACCTCAGACTGTCCATGAGCTCAGTGATTCCCTGGTCCTGATATGGGAGGAAATACTCTAGGACACCATCTGTCATCTCATTAGGAGCATGCCCCGACATTGTCAGGCATGCATACAGGCACTTTGATTTTCGGGGTGTCTTTGAATTCAGTCCTCTGTAGGTTGATAATTTTCATTATCATCAAACAATGGGGCATGTAACGGAACCGGATCCGGACTGCACTTGGGTATTTCCGTTAGATTCCCGCTTCCCTGTCTGAACACAGACCCGCGGACACCACCGCTGACCATACAGGACGAGACAGCACCAGTCTTGTCTTAAAACAGGAAATGGACTGCTTTCTTTAAACACAGACACAAGATATATACAGAGGGTGGGGCAATACATTTAGTAACAAGAGACACACAGCAGACACCCCCCACCAAGCCAATACACAAACACATACATCCCATAATAGTTTACTGGCCAGCAAGACACAGTAGAACAATGGGACCACCTGGCAGTAAACAATGAACAACCCCCACACCCCACCTATACATGTCTACACAATATCAGGACAGACCACCCTGTACCCCTAATGGGCACTTACACATACTAGGGATATGAGGAGCTGAGACAGGGGTCTCCCCACCTCTCCAAAGGGGGCTGTGTTCCATGGGCCCCCCACCCAAAGTGACTCCCGTCACAGGGCATCCTTACGTTGCTAACATATTATCCAGTCCATATCAGTATAGATATCCAGCATGAGATTTTTCCTCATTGAGATCTGATGTGTTTTCAAAGCATTCCTTTCATTTTTTTGAGCAGTGTATAAAAGATGATGTAACACTGGGTAAATTAGATACCAAATATGTCACGCTTTAAGGTTACATCCGCCTGTGGAATGGTGCCAGACTACAGTACTTAAAAATCTCCATAGGCAACAGTTTAAAAGCCTTTACAGGTTACCAGTTTAGAATTATACAGACGGTCTGGTGCTTAAAATGATTTCCGTTGCTCTGATGTTAGTGGCGGTACCTCACATTGGTGGTGCAATCAACGTTTTCATTTGTGCGTGAGGACGGGGCAATGGGAACGCTTTACATTTTTATTTTATTATTTTATTTTCAAAATTTTTTTTCACTAATTTTTTTCATCTCTTTTATTGCCATCAGATTGGATGAACATCATCCTTTGTGATAGCATAGGCCAAGACAGGTTCCCATTTATGGAGAGATCTGGAATCTATCTCCTTTGCCCTCCAAAGCATCTAATCAAACCAAGATCAGTTTGATTAGACACTTGTTCAACCCAGTAAGGGCTTGTTTACATGAACCCGTAACTGGAAGTGACAAAACCCTCGTCACTTACGATCTCTGATGTCACACAGTGAGAGGAACAGCATCAGCTCCTCTCACTGTGTTCTGGGAAGCCGTTGCATCCTTTAGTGGGCTCCCCTATTGCATGGGAGAGTAAACGGAGAGGCAGGAGGGGGTGGGACCCCCTTCTACCACCTGTAAAAATAATCCAGGGGATTTTTAGTCACTAGGATTACTTTTACAGTGAAGGAATCACAGGCCTTAAAAAATGATATCTTGATCACCGCTGCAGCTGCAGCAATGATCGAGATATCACCCTGATAATCTAGCAACGTACCAGTACGTCACTGGGCAGGAAGCAGTTAAAGAAGTATTAAACCAAAATGTTATATATTGCAGCTTGCAAATCAACAGATGTGGTGGCTGCATTAGATTTCTTTTTTTTTGTTTTTTTCCCTCTTTCACCTGGTAATCTGGCCAGTAACACACCTCCTCTATTAGAGTGTTAGTGTATGTGTGTTTGTGTGTGTGGGGGGGTTGTCAGTTGAACTAGCAGATTTAAATTTACTAACAAATTAAAGCCAAACTCCAGCTCACACTTTATAATAATCAGTTACAGCAAACAGTGTTTTCCTTTTGGGATAAAGGTTTTACATAAATAAATAAAAGACGATTGTTGTATGATCTCCAGTTAGTGGTAAATAGGTTTTTCCAGCCCTCTAACTGCTGCATCTGCAGGAGAGCTTGTTCTTTTGAAAAACAACAGATTTATTGACCAGATCATTTCAGACACATTCCTGGATTGAGATCAGACTCATGTAAGTATAATGGGGGCTGCATGCAGAAGGTTTTTTACCTTAATGCATAAAATGCATTAAGGTAAGCAACCTTCTGCCTGTATAATTACTTTAAATTCTTATTGCTTTGAGAGATATTTCACTTCATCTTCTGAGAGTATGATAGGAAGTGAGTGGAAATATACGACTGACCATATATGTAACAATCTTACCATAATATTGCTGTACAAGCAATTTTAGATCTACTAAAATGATTTAATATGAGATAATAATAGATTTACTGAAACTATGTAATAGAAGATAATAATCATAATAGAGATACCAAAACTATGTAATATATAAACCATTCAATCAATTGGCATCTAATCCAAAACGCCATAGTTGGAAGATCTAAAGTGTGAAAATTTAGAGTGTAAATTTAGATTGTAACATGTGCAGTGATCTTTACAACCACTTTAGCCAATTCTGACACTTCCCTCTTCCATGTAAAACTCAGCATATAACCCCCAAATATATATATATATATATATATATATATATAGTATATGTAAATTATTTTTTTTCAGCAAAGGTCCTACAAAATATATTGGTGGTTGTTGTAATATTAATGTCAATATGTCAATATATGCGCATTCGTTTTTTAAATACAAATATTTGAGGAAGAATGCACTTTAATGATTTTGATGCACACAAACTCTACACTTTACGTTTTTTTGTGGGGCATATTTACTGTCTTGACATTTTAAGGGCCTCAAGAAATGAGAGTCCGTCAGTACATCAGGATTGATCAATTTTCAAATATACTGTATATACCATAGTTTATAGACTTTATAACTTTCACACAGACTAAATAATATACACTAATTTGGGTTATTTTTACCAAAGAAATGTGGTAAAATACATTTTGGTCTAAATGTATGAATAAAAATTATTTATTTATTATGTATTTATTTATTATTTATATTTTAGTTTTTTTTTTTTTCAAAATTTTCAGTATGTTTTCATTTATATGGCAAAAAAAATAAAACCCAGTGGTGAATAAATATCACCAAAAGAAGGCTCTTTTTGTGTGAAAAAAAATTATATACATTTCATTTGGGTACATTGTTGCATGACCAAGCAATTGCCAGTTAAAGTAGAGCAGTGCTGAATAGCAAGAAATGCCCTGGTCATAAAGAGGGAAAAACCTTCCGGAGGTCAAGTGGTTAAATATGCTTTAATTTACTAAATTAAAACAATTATGGATATCCACTGTTATTCACCTTGAAATTATTCAAGTGACAAATAAACACTGTATGCTGAGATTCTTATATCATTTCCTGGGCACCTTTATCACCATGTTTTTGGGTCATTCAGCTGATGTTTATGGGTGTATACCTGTTGGCAGAGGCAGGGGTCACAGAGTTACATTTTTAAACAAAAAATGCCTAAA